TGGGACAAACGGCAGCACCATGATAGAAGAAGAGGTTTAGATTGTTATTAATTTCAGCTTGCTTGGTTCCACAATCAACTCTCTCAGCACCAGCAGTCAGGAAATCAAAAGATGAATTGCACTGGAGAAATCTGCTGTTAGGAACCTCTCCACAGTGCTGAAGCACAATGACGTCCATTGAGAGACAAAGGTACAACTGATCTGTGCCATGGTCCTTGCAATTGCTTGCTATGCATCAGAAAGCTGAACAATGCCTAAGGATGACAGGACTAGATGCCTTTGAGTTGCGGTGCTGGGGAAGAGTACTGAACATTAAGCATGGAGTGTCAAGAGAATAGGTCTGTTCTGGAAAGGGTGAAACCCTCTCTTTGGAGGCAAAGATTTTGAAACTCTGTCTCACATATTGCGGGCATGTTGCCTTGAGGGACCAGTCATTGCATGAGGACATCATGCTCATAAAGGGGGAGAGGCAGCACAGGAGAGGAAGAACCTGGATGGGATGGACATAGTAACTGTGGTCTGGGGGTGGATGTGTCAGAGACAGTGATATTGGCTCAGGACAGGGCAGGGTTCAGAGCTACTTTTCAGAGGGTCCCTGAGTCGTAGTCAACTTGATGGCACATTAAAACCACCACCAATTTTAAAATTAGAGGCTTTTAAAATTTTTTAAGGGATGCCTGAAGGGAGGAGGGTTGGGGAGGAGGAAGGCCCTCCAGCAGGTGGACTGACTGGTGACTGCGGCAATGGCTGGAGTGTGTCAGGAGGGGCGAGGTCGGCAGGACAGGACGGGGCTCAGAACCACTTGACCTGACGACACCCACCAATTTCTGAAAGGTTTTTAAACTTCCCATTTTGGATAGGATGGCACAGACACGTTTTGCCTTTCCCGTCCTCCCTAATCGCACCTAAAACCCTTGGTGGGAGAAACACAAAACCTGGAGAAGGCTGCAAAGTGGGGACAACAGGCTGGCAGTGGGTGCCTGGTCATTCTGGGGGTTCACAGTCTCCCCGTATGAAAATCGGGCAGCCCAGATACAATGGTCACGTCCACATCCCTCACTCCAGTGTACTGGACCCTCTGCACAGAGTCCATGGCCGTTGGCCTGGAGCCTGTGTCCAGGAGCCCGTGTCCCTCGGCCAGGAGC